AAATTTGCTGTTCCTGTTGCCTCCTGTCATCCTGCCTGTCAATTCCCCTCCATCCCTATCCACGTGCTGTCAACCTACTATATCCGAACATACAGACACACAAACACACATTAGTTCAGTCACCCCAAACATTCTTCCATACCTGAAAATAGCAATTGAAAATAAATATGACATGCCGAAATTAAGACCTGTAGTATATACCTCTATTAGGAATGTCGGTTGTGTTGACCATTCTTGAGTAGTGAGTAAAGCAGGAGGTTGAGTTGTACTGGTGGGTAGAGTGGGGAGAGTGGTCGTGGGCGATATGTTCTCGGTGGAAACTTCATCATCCAAATAATCAGAAGATTCTCCATCAAGTTCTGTGGTAAAAGGGACGAAACTATCTGAATCAAGACCTGGTAAAGTTTTGTTAAATGTTTTGTACTCCTCAGGCAGACGTTCTTCCTAAGGACTGCATCAGTCATATGCTTGGTCAGGAGTTTTTGTGGGGACGTGTGGCGCAATGACAGTGCGCGCGACACGAAATTAAGAGGTCCCGGGTTCGAGTCCTGACATGCCACCGATCTTGTGCCCTTGGGAAAGGCACTTTACACGAGTTTCCCGACTTTCCAGTACTATTATTCGTTTCTACGTGCGGGACACAACACCAGCGACAGCTGCCTCTGTTCTGCGTGTATTGCATTGTTGCAATTTCAATAGAATTAAAAAGATAATAATAAAAAAAATCAATTTTCAAATTACTCATGAATAGTCAAAGCAAATGTTTCTTGTCAACATTTCACGGATAATTATAAGTCAGTGTTTTGGTCGCTCGCTTACCACCGAAGACGTAACGCGTTGTCTCTTTGTCAGCTTGGATGTCTTGGAGGCCTGTTGTTGAACTTGTTGTAGGCACCCAAGCTGTTGTAGTAGGTGCTAACGTTGTAGTTGTAATGGGCGTTGTAACAGGCGTTGTAGTTGTAATGGAAGTTGTAACAGGCGTTGAGGTTGTAATGGAAGTTGTAACAGGCGTTGTACTTGTAATGGAAGTTGTAACAGGCGTTGTAGTTGTAATGGAAGTTGTAACAGGCGTTGTAGTTGTAATGGAAGTTGTAACAAGCTTTGAAGTTGTACGAGGCGATGTACTTAGTGTTTTAGATGTTGTTGAATGTTCTGCAAGAAAGATGAGCATGTAATTGCTAACACAAGAAGATAGATATGTGTTATAAGATAATTACTGATGTTTGGGAGCAAAACAGACTTCCCTTCCTTTCAGTGGTAGCCTTTATTTCGTACCTTCAGGGTGGCAGAAAAGATCCGGTTCTGTCCATGACCCATTTGACGTGCATGTTCTCGTTATGACGTCACCGGAAGTGACGTTATATCCCGGGGAACATGGGTAGGTGCAGCTCTCCCCCAGCAGATAGGGGCAGTCACACACGGGCCCGATGGTGTTGGCTTGGGTCGGTGGAGCAACACAACCTCCTGAAAATGCAGATGAAGAGAAACAGTTTAAAAACTCCTAACTTCATAAACTATTTCATTTTATGGATTCTGAAAGTAATTATGTATAATTTGACACAGGGATGGCATGATTGTGCTACATAAAATGAGGGTGCAATCACAACACTTACCCAGCTGACAGATGAATCCACGGAAAATGTTGCACGTTGCATCAATCCAGAGGTTCTCAGGACCGTAAATTGCAGCGCAGTTTTCCACAGTGCCACCGCTCGGCTCATTAGTTCTCCAGTTGCTAAAACCGGATGATTCAAGAGTCTGGCCGTCTTCAAATACCCACTGGCCGTCTGTCTCGATATCAGTCAGCCCAATCCAACGTGTTTCACTGTCTACGAAGTCGTGTATGAAAGCGATTGTGGCATTGTCCTTCGGCATGGCTAGCAGTGCCCCGTCTTCGGCACACCTCTGTCTAGCCCCAACGTAGTTCTTAGACTCAGTAAAGGCCTTGTAGCAAACCCTGTTAAAACTAACGTAGCCTGGTATTGGACACACTGTAGCAAAAGAAAAAAAGTGGCTTGGTGAAAATATCTTAAAAACTGACTAAATTTTAGTATGCCTGTCTGCCTAAGTGCTAAGGCCGGGATCTGACCCCTTGCTCCCCTCTGTGTCTCCAGCCCGCTTTATCTAAGGCCATAGTCTCAGCTTCCCTCAGGGTGAGCCCTGTGTCTGTTTGTATCTCGTCTTTCCACCTTTTGGGTGGTCTTCCCCGGGTCTGGGTTTTTAAACACCTGGTAGTATGCCTTATGAACTAAGGTGTTCAGTATAACTACTATTGAATAACGACTAACGCAATTGGCGGTGTAAGTGTGTGGCGTAAGCTCAGAACCAAGAGAACAAAAACCTACTGTCAATGCAGCAGCCAAGAATCTCCACCCTCAAGGAGATAGCACCTTGCCATGACTGAGGATAGAAGCGCACATAACGGGCATCAATGGGGGTGTCCAGTAGGTTTGTTACAGGCGTGGTATTGTCAGTGTTGCCTGTAAACACCTGAAAGGTAAACAGATAATTCAGATGAGGGTTTTTAATACTTAGTACAGGTCTTGATGGTCATCGCTACAAATGCCCACAAAGACTCCACGCATTCTGTCCAAGACAATAGTATCAATAGTCTAGATCAAAACCGATGGATCAACAACGCTCTGTTATACAAAAAGACCTGGAAACATTATTTCATATGTCTTCCTGGTATTTGGGAAATTAATAGAATCAAATATTTTGATACTAGTATTCAAGATACCATTTCTGTGCCATCGCTGTCATTATATGTCGTCCAATTGGCCCCATCCGCACTGTACTGGAGTTTGTACGACTTCACCCATTGTGGATATAACCATTGTTGGCCCTGGACAACAGTCCCGGTGACGCGCTTCATCTCCCCTAAATCCACCTGAAACACGATAGGTTTTTCGATATAGAACAAGTGTGGACGATCGGCGAAGTAGCTAGGCTAGTAAACACGAGATCGAAAGGCCATGAGTTCGATTCCTGAAAGAATGGCATGAAGTTAACTGGAAAGTATAAATGTAACATTTGCGAAACTTCATCTGGTCAAGACCAAGAAACTACTGCACTGTTCATTCTTACTTAAAGCTAAATATGTGAGCACGCTCTCCGACTCTGTTCTGCTACATAATGTAACCTAACATCACAGGGTGTTGATACAGAACCAGTCACCATGGTGACAGACGCCTGGTTGAGGTCATTGACTTTATTTGTTTGAAGAAGGAGAAGAAACTGAGCTAGAACAATATGTTTTCCTTCTGTGAATGTAAACATATGAATCGATTTCAAAAAGCCACAACAATATTTATCAAAGATAAATCAACATGTATACCTACCTGCAGCCATTCTCCGATGTTGCTGCTACGCGGTACCCAGCAGCCATAACCGGATAGTCCGTGTAACCGTGCGTAGTAGGGCAAGTAATCATTGAGTTTGGTCGAAGATGCCGTAATGCTGCCATCAGGTATGGCACCAGACTCCATCCCAAGTGGAACCTGACAGACTGGGAAGGAAAGAGTTTGAGCACATGCAGTGGAAAATATTAATTGTATAAGTCTACAGTGTAAGTAAGAAAAAGTAAACTATCATCACATTTTTGCCGTGGCATTTTTTACACAATATTTTTCAAACGTTTGAAATCAGGTCATAGACCCTTGATTTCTTTTGCGCTGCGGTGCGTTTCACTACGGTGTGATGCGTTCATGTGACAAATACCACCAAATCGTACGTGTACAGGGATCTATTAGAGTTGCACTGTAGTATAATAATATATGTATATAACCTGTGGTGAATGTCCCATTGATAACTCCGTTTGGCTGGTCGTCCTCGCCAAAAGAAGTCAGCTTGAGGGTGTATTCCGTGTTGGCCAGCAGTCCCTGCACTGTTGCCGAGGTGGCCCCGACGTCTGGCGCGGGACACAGGTCCTGGTACGAGCCCGACCCGTCTGCCGGCTGGTAGCGGAGCCTGTAGCGCGAGACCGGATGATTCCCTACGACTCTCCAGGAAACGGTGAGATGACCAGACGCGGCATCATCGAGGCTCAGTCCAGATATCAATGTCACTGGAATTGTATGACACATTTAGTAAAAAATTAAATCATTGGAATTAAACAAGACATAAACGAATCCAACTAACAACAGAAACCTACTGTTAGTGTTGCAGCCTAAAATCTCCGCCCTCATTGCGAATTGGATACCATTCCAGGACTGAGGGTAGAAGCGCACATAGCGGGCATCAACTGGGCTGTCCAGTAGGTTCGTTACAGGAGTGATCATGTCAGTGTTGCCTTGAAAAACCTAAAAGATAAACGGATAATTCAGATTCAGGGCATTTTGCAACTGTTCCGTATAGACATTTTTTATTTACTATAAGGGACAACCACCCCCGGGCCTTTTATCTACCATAAATAATTATTGATTTGGCTAAACCTGAGCTTGTGACGGCCATAGGCGTAACAACCAGTCACCTTCTAATGGTTATCAAAAGAGAAGAGCTTTGTGAGAGGGGGACAGTGTGGCAATAACCTATATGTACTATGCCGGGCAGAATTAATATCTTTTATTCATTCAGAAACAAAATGATAAATACAAATGAAAGAACACAGACTAAGTGGCTGCGAACTCGAGTTAGGTACATCTTACAGTTTTATTCATTTCTATTCTAAATTACCTTATTTTTTTTTAATTCCAACATTTCATGACTAGACATAATGACGGCAAACTCAAGTTATATCAACTTATTTTTATGCCGTCACCAACGCAGATAAAGGACAAATACGGAACAAGACAATACTCATTTACACCTGAGCTAAGTGAGGAAAGTCGTGTAAAGTGCCTTTCCCAAGGGCACAAGATCGGTGGCATGTCAGGACTCGAACCCGGGACCTCTTGGTTTCGAGTCGTGCACTCTGACGCTACGCCACACGACCCCACGTAAATTACCTTATCCGAGCCATCGCTGCCGGTATATGTCTTCCAGATGATTTCATCCGCACTGTACTGGAGTTTGTATGACGTCACCCACTGTTCGGCCTTTTGGCGACCCTGAATAATGGTGCCTGTAACGTGCTTCATGTTTCCTAAATCCACCTAAAATGCAAAATTATCTTGAGTTTTGTTAGAATGTAACGAAGTATACAAGACCAGATCTAGATGATGGAAAGAAAACATGCATTTTTGCTTAAATCAACAACTAAGATCAACTTCATACCGGTTTAAATGCGACTGAGCAAACTTGATTCCTGTGATGTAAGGAATGGGCTTCCGTGAAGTTAGCAGAAAAGAATCCCTTTCCGAACAAAATCGTTTTGATCTGTAAAAATTTCTACCTACTTGCAGCCACTGTCCTATGCCTGTGAATATAGGCATCCAGCCACCTTCTGATCCAGAAGAAAACCCATTTAACCTTGCGTAGTATGGCTCGAAATAAGAATTAACTATCGAAGATGCTGTGATGCTGTCATCAGGTATGGCTCCAGACTCCATCCCAAGCTTACGCTGGCAGACTGAAAGGGAACGAAAATTATGTTCCGTTTGGATTTACCTGTCTTAATCCTACATTAGCTTTACCTGTAGCTGAACATTGTAAGAATACACTTACATATAGCAGCCGGACATTGGCCGATACACATGTACCCTAACGTACAGCGTAACAATAATTAAGCAAGCTTAGGGAAAGGTCTGCAATTCTATCGCCAATACTAAGCCAAATCCAATTTGTGCTTACAGTCAATGTAACAAATTTTCAGCTCAAACACTTAATACTGCCAATAAAAAACAAAAGGAAGACTTTGACGCAAACAAGATAGTTATAGTTTTCTACAGGATACTAGTACTGTATCCTAGATCTCTCTATAATCCTGCTTTAGTAGAAGTCCTCATACACAGCCTTTTCATGCATACCTCAAACTTTGTTCCTCTGAGGCAGACTGCTTACATCACCACTATAACCCTTGTGTACCATGAAGATTCGTATATATATATATATATATATATATATATATATATATATATATATATATATATATATAATATATACAATGTATATATACAATATATACAATGTGGCACAAATTCGTGAAGTATCCCATTCTTACATGTGGTGTATGTCCCGTTGATAACTCCGTTTGGCTGGTCGTCCTCGTCAAAAGAAGTCAGCGTGAGAGTGTATTCCGTGTTGGCCAGCAGTCCCTGCACTGTTGCCGAGGTGGCGTCCACTCCTGGTGCGGGGAAGAGGTCCTGGTACGAGCCCGACCCGTCTGCCGGATGGTAGCGGAGCCTGTAGCGCGAGACCGGATGGTTCCCTACGACTCTCCAGGAAACGATGAGATGGCCAGACGCGGCATCATCTAGGCTCAGTCCCGATATCAATGTCACTGGAAATGTAGGATGCATTTAGTAACAATGAGTAACATGGTAATTGCGCAAGTAAACCAGACTCTAACCAATCGAACCAACGAAGAAAACCTACTGTTAGTGTAGCAGCCTAGAATCTCCACCCTCATGGCGATTTTATCATTCCAGGACTGAGGGTAGAAGCGCACATAACGGGCATCGACTGGCGTGTCAAGTATGTTCGTCACAGGTGTGTGATTGTCCGTATTACCAGTAAAAACCTGAAAGGTAAATGGACGATTCAACGGAGCATATTTACCTCCATGAAAAATGGAGGTATTGTTTTTTGCGTGTCTGTCTGTGTGTCTGTCTGTGTGTGTTTTTGTGTGTGTGTGTTTCCGCAACTTTGTGGTCAGCATAACATTAAGAACGCCTTTATAGATTGTAATGATATTTGGCATGTTGGTAAGTTGGTATGAGTTCTCCGAAGTCTTGTTTTTAACCAGTAGACAATTTTACCTTTGTGAGAAAATCTATGATTGGAATGGGACAGATGAGACATTGGGCAGTTTCCCTCTTTGTACTATCATAATACCAACAAATGTCAGTAAGACTTTCAGTGTAAAATTCATGATATTTTTGGTTCATTTGTGTATCTAGATTACCTCATCTGAGCCATCGCTGCCGGTATATGTGTTCCAGATCATTTCATCCGCACTGTACCGAAATTTGTAGGACGTCACCCAATTTTTATTCCGATGGCGACCCTGAATAATGGTGCCTGTGACGTGCTTCATGTTTCCTAAATCCACCTAAAAGGCAAAATTATTTATAAGTCGTTTTGATGTAAGGAAGTACACAAGATAAGAGCAGATCTAGCTGATCATTATCCGTGAGGCATTATCCCTCAAATTTATCCTTTCATGTGAAAATTGTTTTAAAAACTCAGCTATTGTTGACGTAAAGAAAATATGCCAACTGGCAACAACTAGGTTAATACCGTTTTTAAGTGCGGCTGTTGTATCTACAAACGTGCTCTATTTTGACACATATTATGCCCTCGCCTCTTCTCCTGACAAGGATGGGGGCATTTTCGAATACGGCAGTTAGGTAAATTGGACATACAGATCAGAAACTGACCTGCCTAGCTGCTGCTGAGCTTGGCGTGCTTCTCAGCACCACGGAAGGTTCCAAGTGTCTGCAGTGCCGTCTCATCAGTTAGACGCCTCCCTTCCTCGACGTTTCGCTCCGTTCTGCCTAAGACGTCTCTGGGGGGTGGGGCAACGGAGCAGGCGTCCCTGCTCCGCTTCAGGCACTGTCACCACTTCTCTGGAAGGACTTCCACGCCTTATCCTTTCTCCTCAGCCACAACAAACTGCTTCTTTCTGCTTCCTCAGTCACCTGTCTAGTGAGCTTTGTCTGGGCTTTTCCCCTGATGTTGAAGTCCCTGCACAGACGCATGAAGGAAGTCCCTACAAATCCTCTTACTCCGACTTCTACTGGGTATAGGCGCGTCTGCCATCCTTTCTGCTTGCACTGCTGGACCAGATCATCATATTTCAGTTTCTTTCTTTCAAATGCTGCTTGCACATTTTCTTCCCACGGGATTGTCAACTCAATAATCAGTACAGCTTTCTGATCCTCGGACCACAGGACTAGATCCGGTCTAAGAGATGTCTCACAGATGGTGCTCGGGAAGTGGAGTTGTCTGTCCAAGTCTGCTCTCATCTCCCACTTTCCCCTGCACAGAATACTGCTTCCTGAGTTAACTGTACCCGTGACTGCTGTTGATCTTGGTTTCTGACCCTCTTTCACAAACTGGATAGACTGAAAGGATGATGATGTGCTGGAGGATTCCTTTCTTACTTCCTCCAGCTTCACTGCTAGCTGTCTTAACACCTTGTGGTGTCTCCATGTGTAGCGACCTTGTTGCAGAGCAGTCTTGCAGCCTGACAGAATGTGTTTCAAGTCGGCTTGAGATACCCCGCACAGCTGGCAAGACTCCTCATTCCTATACCACCGAGTGAGGTTACGAGGGGTGGGGAGGACGTCATACGCTGCTCTCACTAAGAAACTCAACCTGGCACTCTGTATATTCCACAGGTCGGTCCATGTGAACCTTCTCTCGACCACACCATCCCAGTTTAGCCAGGCACCTTGTTGGCTCTGACCAACTGCGGT